GAGGAGGAAAAGAAGTGGGAATGAATGAATGGAGAGGGAATTAACGGATGAGAATGTAAAAAGGTGGTCAGGGAGGGAATGAATGAATGAAGAGCTACGGCTAAGACTCTTTAATTCCTACTATATAAAATAACAAATGTCATAACACCTTTCTTACCTTCTATATAGCACGCTTATGAATGATTTGTGAAACATCTATGAAGGCCTTATGAAGGTTTTATAAAGTTGTTAGTTTAAAGTGGTACAGCGTGATTGAGGAAGTTATTCTACTCACAGGTCTTGGGAGAGTAGTTGTGGAGCGGTGCCGACCACCAACAGAGTCACCTCCATCAGACTAGTCATGGCTGCCTCTCTCACCCTGGAGAGGAGGAGAAGAGAAATTAATACCTTAAACACACACACACACCTGAAATGCCACTTGTCATGCCACCGCCCCCAGGGTCCTAAAAGCTAATATTCAAATCAGTTTGGTCATGTCCCGAGGGCAGCTTTAGTTTGTGTGATGTGGTAATGAGGATATCTACTCTAACGTCACGCCCTGAGAGAGGAGCTACAGTGTCTGTGTGTGCGAAGCGACATTTAACAGGTGGAGAGAATGCCGTAGAAGGGGTCCAGTTCATCAGACAGACAGATTAGTTCATGTAATATTAAGGCTGCAACAGGGAGTAAAGGTCATAGATCAGATTCATCATTCCCTTGAGGCAACCAGTTCAAACTAACAGTTACAGTGGCATGCAAAAGTATTCATCCCCCTTGGCGAATTTCCTATTTTGTTGCATTACAACCTGTAATTTAAATGGATTTTTATTTGGATTTCATGTAATGGACATACACAAAATAGTCCAAATTGGTGAAGTGAATTAAATGAAAAAATTCTAAATAATAAATAACGGAAAAGTGGTGCGTGCATATGTATTCACGCCCTTTGCTATGAAGCCCCTAAATAAGATCTGGTGCAACCATTTACCTTCAGAAGTCACATAATAGTTAAATAAAGTCCACAACAAACCTGCCAAGAGAAGGCCACCCACCAAAACTCACGGACCAGACAAGGAGGGCATTAATCAGAGAGGCAACAAAGAGACCAAAGATAACCCTGGAGGAGCTGCAAAGCTCCACAGCAGAGATTGGAGTATCTGTCTATAGGACCACTTTAAGCCGTACACTCCACAGAGCTGGGCTTTATGGAAGAGTGGCCAGAAAAAAAGCCATTGCTTAAAGAAAAAAATAAGCAAACACGTTTGGTGTTCGCCAAAAGGCATGTGGGAGACTCCCCAAACATATGGAAGAAGGTACTCTGGTCAGATGAGACTAAAATTGAGCTTTTTGGCCATCAAGGAAAACGCTATGTCTGGCGCAAACCCAACACCTCTCATCACCCTGATAACACCATCCCCACAGTGAAGCATGGTGGTGGCAGCATCATGCTGTAGGGATGTTTTTCATCGGCAGGGACTTGGAAACTGGTCAGAATTGAAGGAATGATGGATGGCGCTAAATACAGGGAAATTCTTGAGGGAAAACTGTTTCAGTCTTCTAGAGATTTGAGATTGGGACGGAGGTTCACCTTCCAGCAGGACAATGACCCTAAGCATCCTGCTAAAGCAACACTCGAGTGGTTTAAGGGGAAACATTTAAATTTCTTGGAATGGCCTAGTCAAAGCCCAGACATCAATCCAATTGAGAATCTGTGGTATGACTTAAAGATTGCTGTACACCAGCGGAACCCATCCAACTTGAAGGAGCTGGAGCAGTTTTGCCTTGAAGAATGGGCAAAAATCCCAGTGGCTAGATGTGCCAAGCTTATAGAGACATACCCCAAGAGACTTGCAGCTTTAATTGCTGCAAAAGGTGGCTCTACAAAGTATTTGCTTTGGGGGGGTGAATAGTTACGCACGCTCAAGTTCTGTTTTTTTGTCTTATTTCTTGTTTGTTTCACAATAAAATATTATTTTGCATCTTATGTAAATCAAATAATACAAACCCAAACCCCCCCCCCAAAAATCCATTTTAATTCCAGGTTGTAAGGCAACAAAATAGGACAAATGCCAAGGGGGGTGAATACTTCCGCAAAGACACTGTAGTTCATGTTGGGTGAGCAGCAGCATTGAAGGCCAGGCAACAGGCCTAACCTGATTAATTCAAGGTTAAATCAATCAAAAACAGATATAATTGCCACAGAACTGTCCTGTTAGACAAAAAGGTGATTCAATCCCTCCTTCCTCCCCTCTCTTGTCCACCTCACAGAGGAATGTGTCCCCACTGGAGAACGACAGAGAGAAGGACAGCGAGAGAGAGAGAGAGCGAGAGAGAAAAAGAGCGAGCGAGAGAGAGAGAGAGAGAGAGAGAGAGAGAGAGAGAGACAGATAGAGAGACAGAGAGAAAGTCTGTCCCACAGCAGGGTCAGGTGACACGCCAGGTGACATTCCTGTCAGGTAAACTAACTAAGCATTGCCCGGGGCCACCAGGTGTGACACATGCCTGTAGGGCAGGGAGAAGGGGTAAACCAGCTGTCACTTACCAGGACCCTACGTCTCCTCTGCTGTCCAGTGTGTAGTCAGTCATACAGTCCAGCAGAACTCTGTAGACAGCTGACACGTTCCCCTCACACACCACAGAGTCAGAACTACCCTTGGCTGATATCCCCGCTGTCACACACACCCTGACAGAGACACAGATAGATAGAGGGGGTTAGGAGGGGAGAGAGAGGGAGAGAGACAGAGAGACAGAGACACAGACACCGAGAAACAGACACACAGAGAAATATGATAGACAGGTCCTGCAGGTACAACCAGCTGGTTCTTTACTTCTGGCTACAACCCTAATGCTAACGTTGACCTGTTATCCCAGAAGACAGACAGACAGACAGACAGACAGACAGACAGACAGACAGACAGACAGACAGACAGACAGACAGACAGACAGACAGACAGACAGACAGACAGACAGACAGACAGACAGACAGACAGACAGACAGGGAGGGAGGGAGGGAGGGAGGGAGGGAGGGAGGGAGGGAGGGAGGGAGGGAGGGAGGGAAACAGATGGGAACAGGAGAGGGAACAAGATAGGCACTGTGTGTAAGACAGGCTGGAAGATGCCAAGAGATGAGGAGGGAGGGAGGGACAGAGGAGAGAGAGAGAGAGAGAGAGAGAGAGAGAGAGAGAGGTGGTGGAGAGAAGCTGGGAGAGAGGGTGGAGAGAGGCTGGGAGTGGAGGAGAGGAGAGAGGCTGGGACAGGTGGAGAGATGGAGGAGTGGTAGAGTGGAGAGGTGGAAGGTAGAGGTGGAGGGGTGGAGGCATGGAGAGATGGAGGCGTGGAGAGGTGGAGAGTCGTAGGAGTGGGGGAGTGGAGAGATGGAGTGGAGAGGTGGAGGAGTAGAGAGGTGGAGGTGTGGAGGAGTGGAGAGGTGGAGAGATGGAGGAGTGGTAGGGTGGAGAGGTGAAGGGTAGAGGTGGAAGGGTGGAGAGGTGGAGGAGTCAGGAGTGAAGAGGTGGAGTGGAGAAACGGAGAGGTGGAGTGGAGGCGTAGAGAGGTGGAGGTGTGGAGATGTGGAGAGATGGAGGAGTGGAGAGGAGTAGAGGGGGGAGGAGTGGAGAGAAGAGGAGTGGAGAGAAGAGGTGGAGTATAGAGGTGGAGGAGAGGAGAGGTGGAGGAGTATAGAGGTGGAGGAGTGGAGAGGAGAGGTGGAGGAGTGGAGAGAAGAGATGGAGGAGTATAGAGGTGGAGGAGTGGAGATGTGGAGGAGTATAGAGGTGGAGGAGTGGAGAGGAGAGGTGGAGGATTGGAGAGAAGAGGTGGAGGAGTGGAGAGAAGAGGTGGAGGATTGGAGAGAAGAGGTGGAGGAGTGGAGAGGAGAGGAGAGGTGGAGGAGTATATAGGTGGAGGAGTTGAGAGGAGAGATGGAGGAGTGGAGAGAAAAGATGGAGGAGTATAGAGTTGGAGGAGTGGAGAGGAGAGGTGGACTATAGAGGTGGAGGAGTGGAGAGGAGGAGGAGTGGAGAGGAGAGGTGGAGGAGTATAGAGGTGGAGGAGTGGAGAGGAGGGGTGGAGGAGTATAGAGGTGGAGGAGTGGAGAGGAGAGATGGAGGAGTATAGTGGAGGAGTGGAGAGGAGGAGGAGTGGAGAGGAGAGGTGGAGGAGTGGAGTGGAGAGGAGGAGGAGGGGAGAGGAGAGGTGGAGGAGTATAGAGGAGGAGGAGTGGAGAGGAGAGGTGGAGGAGTATAGAGGAGGAGGAGTGGAGAGGAGAGGTGGAGGAGTATAGAGGTGGAGGAGTGGAGAGGTGGAGGAGTATAGAGGTGGAGGAGTGGAGAGGAGGAGGAGTATAAGTATAGAGGTGGAGGAGTGGAGAGGTGGAGGAGTATAGAGGTGGAGGAGTGGAGAGGTGGAGGAGTATAGAGGTGGAGGAGTGGAGAGGAGGAGGAGTGGAGAGGTGGAGGAGTGGAGAGGTGGAGGAGTGGAGAGGTGGAGGAGTGGAGAGGTGGAGGAGTGGAGGAGTATAGAGGTGGAAGAGTGGAGAGGTGGAGGAGTGGAGAGGTGGAGGAGTATAGAGGTGGAGGAGTGGAGAGGTGGAGGTGTGGAGAGGTGGAGGAGTATAGAGGTGGAGGAGTGGAGAGGTGGAGGAGTGGAGAGGAGGAGGAATATAGAGGTGGAGGAGTGGAGAGGAGGAGGAGTGGAGAGGTGGAGGAGTATAGAGGTGGAGGAGTGGATAGGAGGAGGAGTGGAGAGGTGGAGGAGTGGAGAGGTGGAGGAGTGGAGAGGTGGAGGAGTATAGAGGTGGAGGAGTATAGAGGTGGAGGAGTGGAGAGGAGGAGGAGTGGAGAGGTGGAGGAGTGGAGAGGTGGAGGAGTATAGAGGTGGAGGAGTGGAGAGGTGGAGGAGTGGAGAGGAGGAGGAGTATAGAGGTGGAGGAGAGGAGAGGTGGAGGAGTATAGAGGTGGAGGAGTGGAGAGGTGGAATAAGAGGAGATAGATGAAGAAGAGGAGAGATTATAGAGGACAGACTCACTGTGCCATGGCCTTGGCAGCATCTCTCCTGGCCTCAGTGAAGCATACCTCCCTCTGACTACAGCTCTGCTGAAGACCTGACAGGATCTGACACACACACAAACACACGTTTCAAAGGTAGTCTGACGAAGTGTGGTGCTGAAACTGACCTGAGGCACTGTGTAGAATGCTACTATAATAGAATATGGTCATAGTGAAAAGAGGTTGCTCACCCCAACATGTCAGCATAATCTATCAGTATAATACTGAATCAGGCTGTTGACGTGTTCCTGGTGTAGTGTTATTAACTATAACAGATGTATAGTACCTGGTGTAGTGTTATTAACTCTAACAGATGTATAGTACCTGGTGTAGTGTTATTAACTAACAGATGTATAGTACCTGGTGTAGTGTTATTAACTCTAACAGATGTATAGTACCTGGTGTAGTGTTATTAACTAACAGATGTATAGTACCTGGTGTAGTGTTATTAACTAACAGATGTATAGTACCTGGTGTAGTGTTATTAACTCTAACAGATGTATAGTACCTGGTGTAGTGTTATTAACTCTAACAGATGTATAGTACCTGGTGTAGTGTTATTAACTAACAGATGTATAGTACCTGGTGTAGTTTTCCATGGATCATGAACCTTGGTAGAGAACCCAGGGCCAGTGCACTGCCACACCGGGTCAATACCTCCGTACTCTTTAACCCTGCTATATACTGGGACACCAGGACCTCTACACACAGAAAACACACACAGGCGGACAGACAGATTAGATCACAGGAGTTAGAGTTAGAGGAATCCAGAATACTGTGTAAGGTATGGCAAATTTTTATGAAGCCTTCTAAATGGTACAGTATCCCCCCATGCTACCCACTCTGCATCTGGGGGTCAGCCATGCCTGGCTGCGGCTGGTAGTACTGCTCACACAGTGCTGCCAGTGCTGACACCGCTGCCTCCTACAGGGGGGGAGGACCACATTACACATAAACCATTATACAGTGCGTCGCGTATGCCAACTTGATGTCATGAGAGTCCATAATAAACAGTTGTATTTGTTGTGTTCGCTATGTACAGGGCCTTCGGAAAGTATTCAGACCCCTTGACTTTTTCCCACTTTTTTACATTACAGCCTTATTCTAAAATGGATTAAATAAATACAAATCCTCAGCAGTCTACACACAATACCCCATAATGACAAAGCGAAAACAGGTTTTTAGAAATGTTTGCAAATTTATTAAAAATAAAAAAACAGAAATACCTTTTTTACATAAGTAGTCAGACCCTTTGCTATGAGACTCGAAATTGAGCTCCGGTGCATCCTGTTTCCATTTATCATCCTTGAGATGTTTCTACAACTTGATTGGAGTCCACCTGTGGTAAATTCAATTGATTGGACATGATTTGGAAAGGCCCACACTTGTCTATATAAGGTCGAAGGAATTGTCCGTAGAGCTCCGAGACAGGATTGTGTTGAGGCACAAATCTGGTGAAGGGTACCAAAATAATTCTGCAGCATTGAAGGCCCTCAAGAACACAGTGGCCTCCAGCATTCTTAAATGGAAGAAATTTGGAACCACCAAGACTCTTCCTAGAGCTGGCCACCCGGCCAAACTGAGCCATCGGGGGAGAAGGGCTTTCATCAGGGAGGTGACCAAGAACCCGATGGTCACTCTGACAGAGCTGTAGAGTTCCTCTGTGGAGATGGGAGAACCTTCCAGAAGGACAACCATCTCTGCAGCACTCCAACAATCAGGCCTTTGTGGTAGAGTGGCCAGACAGAAGCCACTCCTCAGTAAAAGGCACATGACAGCCTGCTTGGAGTTTGCCAAAAGGCACCTAAAGACTCTCAGACCATGAGAAACAAGATTCTCTGGTCTGATGAAACCAAGATTGAACTCTTTGGCCTGAACGCCAAGCATCACATCTGGAGAAAACCTGGCACATTCAGTATGGTGAAGCATGGTGGTGGCAGCATCATGCTGTGGGGATGTTTTTCAGCGGCACGGACTGGGAGACTAGTCAGGATCGAGGGACAGATGAACGGAGCAAAGTACAGAGAGATCCTTGATGAAACCTGCTCCAGAGCACTCAGGACCTCAGACTGGGGCGAAGGTTCACCTTCCAACAGGACAATGACCTTAACCACTCAGCCAAGACAACGCAGGAGTGGCGTCGGGACAAGTCTCTGAATGTCCTTGAGTGGCCCAGCCAGAGCCCGGACTTGAACCCGATAGAACATCTCTGGCAAGACCTAAAAATAGCTGTCCAACAATGCTCCCCATCCAACCTGACAGAGCTTGAGAGGATCTGCAGAGAAGAATGGGAGAAACTCCCCAAATACAGGTGTGCCAAGCTTGTAGCGTCATATCCAAGAAGACGAGGCTGCAAAGTACTGAGTAAAGGGTCTGAATACTTATGTAAATGTGATATTTCCGTTTTTTGCAAAATTTGCTAAGATTTCTTTAACTGTTTTTGCTTTGTCATTATGGGTTTTTGTGTGTAGATTGATGAGGGGGAAAACATTTTTTAAATACATTTTAGAATAAGGCTGTAACCTAACAAAACGTGGAAAATACTTTCCAAAGGCACTGTACAATATAAATCCCACAATAAAGGGATTTCACAATATGGTGTGTGTGTGTGTGTGTGTCTGTTAAGGTTATTGTTAGGTTTAGGGGTTACGGAAAATAGGATTTAGAATGGGAATCAATTGTTTGGTCCTCACAAGAATAGTAAAACAAACGTGTGTGTGTGTGTGTGTGTGTGTGTGTGTGTGTGTAGAATGCTGTACTGTACCTTGATACCGTCCCTAGGTCCAGGTGAGATGAGGTGGAGGCTCTTCAAGGTGTCGTCTATCAGCCACTGCCAGCCAGCTGAAACAGACAGGGTTTACTCTGTCATGACGTGTCAGTGGTTTGAACAGTACAGAGACATTGCCAGCCAGCTGAAACAGACAGGGTTTACTCTGTCATGACGTTTCAGTGGTTTGAACAGTACAGAGACACTGCCAGCCAGCTGAAACAGACAGGGTTTACTCTGTCATGACGTTTCAGTGGTTTGAACAGTACAGAGACACTGCCAGCCAGCTGAAACAGACAGGGTTTACTCGGTCATGACGTTTCAGTGGTTTGAACAGTACAGAGACACTGCCAGCCAGCTGAAACAGACAGGGTTTACTCTGTCATGACGTGTCAGTGGTTTGAACAGTACAGAGACACTGCCAGCCAGCTGAAACAGACAGGGTTTACTCTGTCATGACGTGTCAGTGGTTTGAACAGTACAGTACTGCCCCTCCTGGCTCTAACGGTGGGGCGTGGCTTGTCCATTATTATACACCATCTGTTAATCATTAACAAACACAGCCCAGGTATAACCATGACAACAGATAAAACAAGTGGTTACTACTGTTAAACAGCTCTCTGTTAGACAGCTCTTTGTTAACTATAGCCCAGGTATAACCCTTTTCCTGTTCCAACAAAACCTTCAGGAAGATAATAGCCAGTTTATTGATGCTATACGGTCCCTAATTACATTCAACCCCTGGTCGATTTCTTCTTGAGCGGATGGTCGGGGGGCCGGAACATAGTTATAAATAATTTGTATACTGCAAATTGACCGCGAGAATCCCAAATAGATGTAGTATTTGACAAAAACAGAATAATTTCAAACCTTGATTACATTGGGATACGATCACATATGCCTCTATTTATGCGTGGGAATACTTGGGAACAGATTTCTCAAAAAGTTTTTCTGGTGATTTTACAGTCTTTTATGTCCAACAACGAAAATGATTTTTAAAAAATCTAATAAAATCTCTGAAAACACATACCGTAAAATGACCCGCAGGATGTATTTGACCTGTGGGCCGCCTATTGAGAAACCCTGCTAGATGAAGGAATCATTCAGATAAGGCCTGAATATCAACGAAATGAAAACTCACTGATGACAGGGTCGTCCTTGAAAGGCATCTTGGAGAGGGACATCTTCTCAATGAGAGAACAGACTGCAGGCCTCATCAGCTCACCACCAAAGCCCCTACACAGACAGGAGACAACAGCACACGTGTACACCCCAACATTTTTTTGCGGTTGCACAACATACTGGTCTGAAACCTTTAAAGGGGCATTAGAACTCCTGAAACAGTCCAAACCAGAATGAGGAGAAAGAGGAAAACAACAGTGCTTACCTGTACTGCTTTCTGTCAAATAGCTGGAAGACATAAAACACATGATGAAAAGACTGCTAATGTACAACTTTAAAGACAACAACATGTACCTATGTTGGTACAACTGACTCAGGTGAATGGTCAACATCAACATGTACCTATGTTGGTACAACTGACTCAGGTGAATGGTCAACATCAACATGTACCTATGTTGGTACAACTGACTCAGGTGAATGGTCAACATCAACATGTACCTATGTTGGTACAACTGACTCAGGTGAATGGTCAACATCAACATGTACCTATGTTGGTACAACTGACTCAGGTGAATGGTCGACATCAACATGTACCTATGTTGGTACAACTGACTCAGGTGAATGGTCGACATCAACATGTACCTATGTTGGTACAACTGACTCAGGTGAATGGTCGACATCAACATGTACCTATGTTGGTACAACTGACTCAGGTGAATGGTCAACATCAACATGTCTTCTGTATACCCCCCTACCTTGTCACAACACAACTGATTGGCTCAAACGCATTAAGAAGGAAAGAAATTCCACAAATTAACTTTTAAGAAGGCACACCTGTTCATTGAAATGCATTCCAGGTGACTACCTCATGAAGCTGGTTGAGAGAATGCCAAGAGTGTGCAAAGCTGTAATCAAGGCAAAGGGTGGCTACTTTGAAGAATCTCAATTATAAAATATATTTTGATTTGTTTAACACTTTTTAGTTACTACATGATTCCATTTGTGTTATTTCGTAGTTTTAATGTCTTCACTATTATTCTACAATGTAGAACTTCTGACTGGTACTGTATGTTGGTACAACTGACTCAGGTGAATGGTCAACATCAACATGTACCTACGTACATCAACCGGTACCCCCTGTATTTAGCCTCGCTATTGTTATTTTTACTTCTGCTCTTTAATTTGTTACTTTTATTTAATATTATTTGATTTTGTATTTCTTTGTAAAAAATTTTTAATTGGTATTCTTTCTTAAAACTGCATTGTTGGTTAAGGGCTTGTCAGTAAGCATTTCACTGTAAGGTCTACTACACCTGCTGTATTTGGCGCATGTGACAAATACAATTTGATTTGATTTTGGTACAACTGACTCAGGTGAATGGTCAACACTTGAGACAACATACATGTGGGTGAAAAGACACCGGAGGAGAGAAAGAGGAAGAGAGTAGTGAGAGAGAGAGAGAGAGAGAAAGGGAGAGAGAGAGAGAGAGAGGAGAGAGAGAGAAGGAGGAGAGTGAGGAGAGAGGGAAAGAGAGGGGAGAGAGAGAGGGGAGAGGGAGAGAGGAGAGATGGAGGAGAGAGGAGAGGGAGAGAGAGAGGAGGATAGAGAGGAGAGAGAGAGAGAGAGAGGAGAGAGGAGAGAGAGAGAGGAGGAGAGAGAGAGAGAGAGAGAGGAGAGGAGAGAGAGAGAGAGTAGCAAGAGAGAAGTGAACTAACCCTCTGGTGAATGCTCTTGAGTCCATCCACACAGTCTGAAGAGATGAGCTCTGTCACCGGTCTACAATCCAATGCAATTCAATTTTATTGTCCATATGTTCCAGCGAACAACAGAAATGTTCAATCCCCCCAGATAGCACATATCTCACACACAGTTGGGTCTACAATAGATAGAGACAGTCAATTACCTATGACCTTATAGAAGCCAAGGGCTTAAGTCAAATCAGGAAGTCAAATCACGGGTCGATATGCAAAACAAAAGCTGTCATTGTGGATGGATTTATTACATAACAACGTTCATGTGGTTTTCCTATAAGTACGGCCAATAGTGTAATTGGCTGGTTGAGAGGTGAGGTTTCAGTACCTGTTGTTCTGATTGGCCAGCTTGTAGAGGGCGTGGCTGATCTCAGCAGATGCCAGAATGGCGCCATGGCGACTGTGGAGATCAATGCCCAACGCAACGGGCAGCAGCTGAGGCATAACTGAAAATATAATAATCCAAATATAAAACGTAATTCTAACTCAATAATTGTGTGTCTTTTTCATACCTTGCAGGGACACCTGACAGAACATCAACAGGGCAGAGGTGTGGGTGTGGTTAATATATTTGAATATAACCTGAATGATTTGTGGCCTGGCTGGTCTACCTGTAATGCCGCAGCCTCCGGCACACTTCTACGATGTCGCCATAGTGTCCAATCTGGCCTAATGCCCTTTGACCTCTCTCTGTGTGTTCCCTATGTGTTCAATAAAATACCATTCTAAAAAAATAAAAAATAATAATAATAATAATAACTTGACAGATGTAAGGACCCAGACACAACAACAGTGATTGCAGCTGAACGTCACCCAGTCCATTCCACAGTAAGACAACGACGTCAAAGCTGTGTTGCGTTAGAGCGGGTAGGGAACAGGATGAATGACATAGCTCACCTGTTGCGGCCATATAATCAGGTGCTTGAGGCGTCAGATTATGCAGAGCCTTTGTCGCTAGCTCACGGATCACCCTGCAACACAACAGAGAAACACGCAGAGGAGAATTTCACCTTCTCCATTACATACAACAGTTTCAACACTAATAGGCTACACACAGTACGAATGTCTGCATACGGATATCAGACCTGGGCCAAACACATATGACAAATACTTCCAAATACTAACTTGAGGTGAGCTTGATTTAGCTTCTGGGACTATTCCATTGGTTCCATGGTAGCGGGCAAACTAAATCAAGTACAGTATTTGAAAGTATTTGATTAAAGTCTAAAGGACATGGAGGAGGACAGGAAAGGCCCTTACCCGTCCCAGTGGTTGATCTTCATGGCTACCAAGTGGTCTATCATGGGCCTGGTGTATTCAGGGAAACTGGCGATGTATACACTGAAGAGAACGAGACAAGAGGTTATTACTATTTTACTACTACAGGTAATGCTATAACTACTACTACAGGTAATGTTATAACAACCACAGGTAATGTCATAACAACAACTACTACTACTACTACTACAGGTAATGTTATAACAACTACTACTACAGGTAATGATATAACTACTACTACAGGTAATGTTATAACAACTACTACTACAGGTAATGTTATAACAACTACTACTACTACTACAGGTAATGTTATAACTACTACAGGTAATGTCATAACAACTACTACTACTACTACTAGTACTACTACTACTACTACAGGTAATGTTATAACAACTACAGGTAATGTTATAACTACTACAGGTAATGTCATAACAAGTACTACTACTACTACTACAGGTAATGTTATAACAACTACTACTACAGGTAATGATATAACTACTACAGGTAATGTTATAACAACTACTACTACAGGTAATGTTATAACAACTACTACTACTACAGGTAATGTTATAACAACTACTACTACAGGTAATGTTATAACAACAACTACTACTACTAAAGGTAATGTTATAACAACAACTACTACTACTACTACTACTACTACTACTACTACTACTACTACTACAGGTAATGTTATAACAACTACTACTACAGGTAATATTATAACAGGGTGAACAAATACTACTACAGGTAATGTTATAACAACTGCTACTACAGGTAATGTTATAACAACTACTACTACTACTACTACTACAGGTAATGTTATAACAACTACTACTACTACTACTACTAATACTACTACTACAGGTAATGTTATAACAACTACAGGTAATGTTATAACAACAACTACTACTACAGGTAATGTTATAACAACAACTACTACTACAGGTAATGTTATAACAACAACTACTACTACTACTACTACTACTACTACTACTACTACTACTACTACTACTACTACTACTACTACTACAGGTAATGTTATAACAACTACTACTACTACAGGTAATGTTATAACAACAACTACTACAGGTAATGTTATAACAACAACTACTACTACTACTACTACTACAGGTAATGTTATAACAACAATTACTACTACTACAGGTAATGTTATAACAACTACTACTACAGGTAATGTTATAACAACTACTACTACAGGTAATATTATAACAACTACTACAGGTAATGTTATAACAACTACTACTTCAGGTAATATTATAACTACTACTACTACTACTACTACTACTACTACTACTAATATTATAACTACTACTACTACTACTACAGGTAATATTATAACAACTACTACTACAGGTAATATTATAGCAACTACTACTACAGCTAACCCTAACTACAGTGCAGGACACAGCTAACCCTAACTACAGTACTAGACACAGCTAACCCTAACTACAGTGCTGGACACAGCTAACCCTAACTACAGTGCTGGACACAGCTAACCCTAACTACAGTACTAGACACAGCTAATCCTAACTACAGTGCTGGACACAGCTAACCCTAACTACAGTGCTGGACACAGCTAACTACAGTGCTGGACACAGCTAACCCTAACTACAGTACTAGACACAGCTAACCCTAACTACAGTACTAGACACAGCTAACCCTAACTACAGTTCTGGACACAGCTAACCCTAACTACAGTACTGGACACAGCTAACTACAGTGCAGGACACAGCTAACCCTAACCACAGTTCTGGACACAGCTAACCCTAACTACAGTGCTGGACACAGCTAACTACAGTGCTGGACACAGCTAACCCTAACTACAGTGCTAGACACAGCTAACTACAGTGCTGGACACAGCTAACCCTAACTACAGTGCTAGACACAGCTAACCCTAACTACAGTGCTGGACACAGCTAACCCTAACTACAGTGCAGGACACAGCTAACCCTAACTACAGTGCTGGACACAGCTAACCCTAACTACAGTGCTGGACACAGCTAACCCTAACTACAGTGCTGGACACAGCTAACCCTAACTACAGTGCTGGACACAGCTAACCCTAACTACAGTGCTGGACACAGCTAACCCTAACTACAGTGCTGGACACAGCTAACCCTAACTACAGTGCTGGACACAGCTAACCCTAACTACAGTGCTGGACATAGCTAACCCTAACTACAGTACTGGACACAGCTAACCCTAACTACAGTACTGGACACAGCTAACCATAACTACAGTGCTGGACACAGCTAACCCTAACTACAGAACTGGACACAGCTAACCCTAACTACAGTACTGGACACAGCTAACCCTAACTACAGTGCTGGACACAGCTTACCCTAACTACAGAACTGGACACAGCTTACCCTAACTACAGTACTGGACACAGCTAACCCTAACTACAGAACTGGACACAGCTAACCCTAACTACAGTACTGGACACAGCTAACCCTAACTACAGTACTGGACACAGCTAACCCTAACTACAGAACTGGACACAGCTTACCCTAACTACAGTACTGGACACAGCTAACCCTAACTACAGAACTGGGCACAGCTAATCCTAACTACAGTACTGGACACAGCTAACCCTAACTACAGTACTGGACACAGCTAACCCTAACTACAGTACTGGACACAGATATTTGAAGGCTGCTTTACAACAACATTTAGCGTCACTCTACAGTACATATTCTCAGTTTATTTCCTCAACAACATCTTGGGCCTCAACAGTAATCTGCTGCTACAGTCAGAAGTGTAGTAAGTCTACCCCGGGGCTACATTCTTTAACACGGTTTGCTCCGTGACGTGGGAGGAATGTTTACTCTGACAGTACAGGTGGTGGTAGAAACGTCACCCATAGGGTTAGGATGGCGACGGTCCCATTCCACAGTGAGGCAGGACTGCGTCTGAAATGGCACCCTAGTGAACTACTTTTAAGAAGGGAGAATAGGACGCCATTTCAGACGCAATCAGTGACGTAGTGCACATAGAAATTACTTTTGCAGTTTAAGTTCCCAAGTTAAAATGGGTTTCCATCGCGTTTTTCAATTCTACCGATGGTTTTGTCAACTTTGGTCTTGGCACGTGCGCTCTGGCCAACAGCTCGCAGATACAATGCGGGTAGGCTAGCCTACATGATGAGATTATTATGGATAAGACCTAGATTATTTTTATTTGTCAAACGGCAGCCAAGCATTGAAGCATCGATCATGTCACCAGAATAAGACCCTCGATATTTATTGGAAATGAGCATTAAGCTCATCACCGTGCACTTTCACCACCCTGTGAAGTTCATCATAACTTATTTTATATGTAGCCTAATAAACTGAATGCTTTTCCGAGTCGCAGTGGGAGGACCACACAGCATATCATCGCAGGACTCAAAGTTTACTTCCATATGATGGTTATTATATCAATATTTTTGCATAAAGGCGTTTCCACCGCCATTTCTAACATAATACATTTTACCAACACAAAAAGATCCCACCAAGTTGAATAAACAAATTGTCTGTTGACAAATATGAAATTGTACCGACGTCTTGTTTCCATCAGCCCGGTAGTGACCTTTTTCAAGCGTCAAGTAATTCATCCTCATGAAATGGTTGGATGGAAACCTCAGGAGGCCATTTTGGCTCAAGAGCTCCCCCAGAGGCAAAAGCTCTGTAGAGTATCTTTAACTCACCTGATGGTCAGGTAGCAATTGTTCAGGTTCCCAACAGCAAAGTAGTCAGCTGCTACTACTATGTCGATACCGTAGGGGAATGTGCCCTGGAGAGAGAGGGATCAGATCTATGGTTTTACTTATGTACCAAGAGAACAGTGTTTCAGTGTGACCGGCAGGGTTCGAACCCAGGTCTCCTGTTAGACCGCTGTGCTAAAGCCTATGCATTAGACCAGGGAGCTAACACAAATCTCGAGGTCTCAGGCAAAAACACCTGTGTCCATCAGTAAACCCATGGTGTACGCTATCAGCCACAATGAATGATATGAACAGTTGAATGATATGAGCAGTTGAACAATATGAAATCCCAATGGTAATCACATTTTGATAACTAGTCACTAGATCTGATGCCCAGCTTGGTAAGTGCTGGCGGCACACAAAGCATATTAATCTATGCCTGTGGCCAAGTCAGTGTAGGCATCTCTTGATCAGCACATAATGTCATTTTTCTGGCAGTTGTTGATCTGTTTAAAGGACTTTGGTGACAGTCAGGGCACGTTACAGTTAGACCTGGATGGCAAGTGATCATTACAACCAGTTGTTGATCTGTTTAAAGGACTTTGGTGACAGTCAGGGCACGTTACAGTTAGACCTGGATGGTAGGTGATCATTACAACCAGTTGTTGATCTGTTTGAAGGACTTTAGTGACAGTCAGGGCACGTTACAGCTAGACCTGGATGGTAGGTGATCATTACAACTCTAATTTACTGTGTATCATAGCATTAGTCATGTAATAATAACTTATGGTTTTGGTAACTGGGTTCACAAACCTGTCTTCCCACATTCTCCTGGAAGGCAGCCTGGGAGAGAAGGGAGAACAACAGAGAGTTAGAAGTTAGATTATAGTCAGTAGTGAGATCTGACAGAAATGACAGGGTTAGAGTCAAAGAGACAGAAGTTAGATTATAGGCAGTAGTGAGATCTGACAGAAATGACAGGGTTAGGGTCAATTCAGGTAATCCAGGAAGTTAATAAAAATTCAATTCATGAATAAATAAATAAAATGTCCCATTATTTTCAATGATGTTTTTTAAATGTATTAATTGAATTTCAATTAATTCCCTGGATTTATTGAATTGAAAACGGAGAGCGAGAGAGCGAGAGAGAGAGAGAGCGAGAGAGACAGCGAGCGAGAGAGAGCGAGAGAGACAGCGAGAGAGAGAGAGACAGCGAGAGAGAGAGAGAGAGAGAGAGACAGCGAGCGTGAGAGAGACAGCGAGCGCGAGAGAGACAGCGAGCGCGAGAGACAGCGAGCGCGAGAGAGACAGCGAGCGAGAGAGAGAGCGAGAGCGAGAGAGAGAGAGAGAGAGAGAGCGAGAGCGAGAGCGACAGCGACAGCGCGAGAGAGAGAGAGAGAGAGAGGTCACTCACTGACGCAGCTCTACGACAGTTGATGTTTCGGTCAAACACAGCAGTGATCACCAGAGCACTGAGAAGACAGGGAGGGAGGGACACAAATTGATGGACAGGTAAACATCCACTGATACACAGGCAGGGAATGTATTTACTACCTTTATGGTAGTGGGTATTGGGCCACAGTGAAGTCATTGCTATGATCAGACAGGAGAGAACCCTTGAAGATCACCCAAGTTTGACCTTGTGGTTGTTGATAAAAGCATTATGAACTACTAAGCTACCACTCAAGTAAAGCGTTAGCCAGTTTCTTGGTTGACCTTGTGGTTGTTGATAAAAGCATTATGAACTACAAAGCTACCACTCTACACACTTTTTTTTGGGGGGGGATGGATCAGCTTAATATTGCAGATAGATTGTATCTTCTATCAATGTAATTGTCTGCATCACTTCCAATCCCCCATGTTTTTTTTATATATATACTCCCCTTTATTACTTTTCAACCCCGCCATCCTTTCCCTACTTGGAGTAAATTAGTGAACAACAATGCCCAGGCCTCTACTTCCGGTCTATACTTACTATCTACACCTTTATATATATATTTTAAAAAATTGCTCCTGAACTTCTTCTACTCTCAACCTCTCCGATCATTTTCATGATGTCCATCCGGTTTGCTTCTATATGCCATATCTTTCTAACTGTGCTCTTTCCCAAAAGCTCCCAACATACAACCTATATACTTATTATGGACACAGTATGCTTACATTATGAGCTATCTTTGTTATTATTTGTTGTTATTTGTTATTAGTCCCATCCTTCAACTCTATTCAATACCTCCCATCTATCTCTTAACACCATCCATATAGGATTTCTATTTGCCATATATATTTCAACCGTTCTGTGATGTTTTACAAAAGTTCTGAACCTTTCTATTCTCATTGCTTCTACAGATTGTGAATTAAAAATAAACATTTTTGCTAAAAGTATTATTATATTATTGATCGATTGACTATGACTTTTCAGATCACCCAGTAATGCGATCTGCAAGGTTAGCTCCAGGTAAATATTGCAATCCTTTAGCCATTCCTGGACCTGTGTCCAAAAACAAGCTACAAATGGACAGAACCAAAACAAATGATCTAATGATTCTGTCTCTTCACAGCAAAATCTGCAGAGCTGGGAAGATTGTATCCCCCATATAAATAACATTCTATTGGTAGCAAGAATTTTATATAATAATTTAAATTGAAAGATTCAAATTTTTGAATCCGGTGTCGTTTTGCGTGTCAGTTCATAAACACTATGCCATGGGATCGGTACGTCAAAAATCTCTTCCCAACTATTTTGCAATCTATATGGGACGGCTGTCAATCCTTTGGTCCTTAAGTGAAACTGATATACTTTTTTATTTATCACAGTTTTCCTTAACCAATTATGTTCTTTAATGCAAGGCCGACAGACAAGTTCCTTACTTTCTCCCCCTTCCACTTTCCGCTTCCACTTTTGCGGTAAGGCTGCAATTATTTGGTTGTAATTTTGGGTAGTGCAGACATTTCCATATGGTTTTGTTAGCTGCATTTGCGACATAACTCCACTAGTCCTACCGATGATATCATTTACGAAGATTATACCTTTTTTAAACATTCTGTCAAAAAATAAAGGTTTTTTGTCAATTAGTATATTTGAATTTAACCACAATATTTGTTGCATTATTTGTTCTGTCTTTTCTGGAGGATTATATTGAAATTGCAACCAACTTTCTATGGCTTGTTTTAGAAATAGTGATATTTGGGAGATGATTTCCTTTTCAAATAACTGCAAATGAGTTGTTGTAATCTGAATAAAGGGAAAAATGCCTTTCTTGAACATTGGGTGAGACAATCTTACTAATTTGCTTGAGAACCAGTTCGGATTTAAGTATAACTTTTGTATGACTGAAGCTTTTAGTGATAGGTCTAATGCTTTAATATTTAATAATTTCTGTCCTCCGAATTCATATTCATTATATAAATATGCCCTTTTAATTTTGTCTGGCTTGCCGTTCCAAATAAAATTGAATATTTTTTTCTCATAGAATTTAAAAAACTGTTCGCTAGGCGTAGGCAAGACCATAAGCAAATAGGTAAACTGGGATAATACTAAAGAGTTAATCAGGGTGATTTTTCCACAAATGGACAGGTATTTTCCTTTCCATGGTAGTAAGATCTTATCTATTTTTGCTAACTTTCTATTAAAATGTAATGAAGTGAGATCATTTATTTCCTTTGGGATATGTATTCCGAGTATATCCACATCACCATCAGACCATTTTATTGGTAAACTACATGGCAATGTAAAAATTGTATTTTTTAGTGATCCAATACGTAATATAGTACATTTGTCATAATTTGGTTGTAATCCAGAGAGGTTAGAAAATGTATCTAGATCCTCTATGAGGCTGTGGAGGGATTCTAGTTGTGGATTTAAAAGAAAACATGAATCATCAGCGTACAATGACACCTTTGTTTTTAAGCCCTGGATTTCTAATCCTCTTATATTATTATTGGATCTGATTTTAATAGCTAACATCTCGATGGCCACAATAAATAGATATGCCGATAGTGGACAACCTTATTTCACTCTTCTTGACAGTTTAAAACTTTCTGAGAAATAGCCATTATTTACTATTTTACACCTAGGGTTACTATACATGATTTTGACCCATTTTATAAGAGATTCTCCAAAATTGAAATGCTCCAGGCATTTATATATAAACCCCAGTCGAACTTTATCAAATGCCTTTTCGAAGTCTGCTATGAATAGCAGGCCTGGTTTCCCATATTTTCCATAGTGTTCTATTGTTTCCAATACTTGCCTTATATTATCTCCAATGTATCGCCCCTGTAAAAAACCTGTCTGATTAGAATGAATAATATCCGACAATACCTTTTTAATTCTATGCGCTATACATTTTGCTAGAATTTTTGCATCACAACACTGAAGTGTAAGGGGCCTCCAATTTTGTAAATGGACTGGATCTTTATATTTTCCACTTGTATCCTGTTTCAGTAATAATGAGATCTTCTTCTTGAGTGTCAGATAATCTACCATTTACATAGGAGTGGTTAAAACATGCTAATAACGGTCCTCTTAGTATATCAAAAAAGGTTTGGTATACCTCGACTGGTATGCCATCCAACCCTGGAGTTTTCCCAGACTTAAAGTCTTTAATTGCATCCAGAAGTTCCTCCTCTGTAATTTCACCTTCACATGAGTCTTTCTGTGTGGCTGTTAATTTGACATTATCAATAGAAAAAAAATCTCTACAATTAGCTTCAGTTAGAGGAGATGGAGGCAACTGAAAAGAAAACATATGCTTAAAGTACTTTGTTTCTTCCTTCAAAATATAATTTGGTGAATTATGGGTGACTCCGTCAATTGTAACCAGTTTCATTAAGTTCTTTTTGGTAGCATTCCTATGTTGAAGATTAAAAAATAATTTTGTGCATTTTTCCCCATATTCCATCCAGTTTGCTTTATTTTTATAATATATTACACTTGATCTTTCTTGAATAAGTTTCTCCATTTCTTTTTGTTTTTCCTCTAAGTTACAGTTTTTATTGCCATCTATCTGTTCTGTTAGACTTTCTATTTCTTTTCTTAGTATAAACTCTTTTGACCTAAATTGCTTTTGTTTTCGAGATGAGTACTGAATTGCATGGCCTCTAAAGGCACATTTAAAGGTGTCCCATACAATAAGGGGATTCGCTGTACCTATGTTATGTTGGAAAAAGTCAGTTATAAATTCCTTTGTTCTAATTATAAATAAATTATCATCCAATAGGCTTTGATTAAATTTCCAATATCCTCGCCCACGTGGAAATTCAGTAAGAGTAATGTATATGCCTATTATATGATGGTCCGACCGCATTCTGTCCCCTATCAACACTTTTTTTTTACTTTTGGTGCCAACGAGAATGAGATAAGAAAGTCAAGACGACTAGCTTGATTGAGTCTCCACCATGTATATCTCACTAGATCAGTATATTTAAGCCTCCATATACAGTGGGGAAAATAAGTATTTAGTCAGCCACCAATTGTGCAAGTTCTCCCACTTAAAAAGATGAGAGAGGCCTGTAATATTCATCATAGGTACACGTCAACTATGACACACAAAATGAGAAAAAAAAAATCCAGAAAATCACATTGTAGGATTTGTAATGAATTTATTTGCAAATTATGGTGGAAAATAAGTATTTGGTCAATGACAAAAGTTTCTCAATACTTTGTTATATACCCTTTGTTTGTTTTTGTTATTCTTTTTTTATATATTTTTTGTCATTTTTTATTTTTATTTATTTATTGTGGGGAATGGATCAGCTTAATATTGCAGATAGATTGTATCTTCTATCAATGTAATTGTCTGCATCACTTCCAATCCCCCATGTTTTTTTTCTTTTTTATATATATACTCCCCTTTATTATTTTTCAACCCCACCATCCTTTCCCTACTTGGAGTAAATTAGTGAACAACAATGCCCAGGCGTCTACTTCCGGTCTATACTTACTATCTACACCTTATGGACAGAGTTCATTTTACAATAATTCTATTATATATATATATATTATTTTTTTTTGCTCCTGAACTTCTTCTACTCTCAACCTCTCCGATCATTTTCATGGTGTCCATCCGGTTTGCCATATCTTTCTAACTGTGCTCCTTCCCAAAAGCTCCCAACATACAACCTATATACTTATTATGGACACAGTATGCTTACATTATTAGCTATCTTTGTTATTATTTGTTGTTATTTGTTATTAGTCCCATCCTTCAACTCTATTCAATACCTCCCATCTATCTCTTAACACCATCCATATAGGATTTCTATTTGCCATATATATTTCGACCGTACTGTGATGTTTTACAAAAATTCTGAACCTTTCTATTCTCATTGCTTCTACAGATTGTGAATTAAAAATAAACATTTTTGCTAAAAGTATTATTATATTATTGATTGATTGACTATGACTTTTCAGATCACCCAGTAATGCTATCTGCAAGGTTAGTTCCAGGTAAATATTGCAATCCTTTAGCCATTCCTGGACCTGTGTCCAAAAACAAGCTACAAATGGACAGAACCAAAACAAATGATCTAATGATTCTGTCTCTTCACAGCAAAACCTGCAGAGCTGGGAAGATTGTATCCCCCATATAA